AAATTATTTAAATGGTGACTATGAGATTTTTACACATTTTTTCGTCGCCCTCTATCGAGTGGTAGATTCATTAAATATATTATTTGTGTGATTTGTGTTACCTATGCGCGTGATTGGTGTCCAAGCTTTTCGCCGGCGTTTGACGGCCGACCGTTGGTGCGCCATCTCTTGTTCGCCGGCCGTTGGCCTGTTCGCTCCAAACAATAGCATGGGTCTATCTATATGTATTTAATCAATGTACTGGAGGAAGTGCCAGACTTAAAATGATGGTTTCGAGCCAAACCGGTAAAGTGTCATAAACAGTACCCCTCATTACCCAGATAAGACTGCCGATGACAGTGACGTACAGTTTTTTTTTTTGATGCGGCTCATGGAATAAAATTTGTTGAATAAAACAACGCACATAACAGATTTATATTCTCTATTAATTAATATTATTTAAAATATTTAAATCAATCAATACATCACGAGTAACAAGTAATACAAACAGTGAATACCGTTAAAAAGTACAAACAACCAGGGTGACGACGCCACTGAGTAGTGGTTATTCGCAATGACGTGACTAATTTTTAGCTTGGGAAGTTTGAAAAGTTTTCACTCGGAAGGCCGACTATTCACTCAGAATTATTTGCCTAATCTGCCGGATGTAGGTGGGCTTCTCCAGCCCAGGTTGTAAATTTTTGTAGGATGCAAAGTGCGGAGAAGAATAAAATCAGGTAGCAGCCCGTAGTAGGGTCATTCATGGAAAACTGCGAACCAATTATTTCTTCCTTTTTTTTAGATCTGAGAGCTGTTTTACACGTCACAGAAATATCTATCCTAAAAGAAATTTTTAGAAATAATTTTCTCGTCATTAATCGGTTGCAAAAGATCAAGAGGCACTCGAAGCAAGCCCTGACAAACTTATTAGCGGCGCCAGCGGAGATCTCCAACTGGCTGCGGTACCACCATGGACACTCGCGTAACCTCTTTTTCCAGAATTGTCAAAATGACATTGCCAAACTCAAAGCAATCATGAATTAAGCATTTCATTTCAAATTCAGTTAGTATCAAGTGGTACATGGTATTCGTATTTTGGGTTGCGTAAAAATAATTTTCAGAAATAATTTTCTCGTGACTAACCCTGTATATGTATTTTTTTACACCCACATATGGTACAACTGAATTTTTCTTCAGTACAATACTAGTCACATAATAATAACTAAAAAATAAGTTTTTAGTTGCATAAGTACCTACATTTCTTAGATTTCCCGGTAACACAAAATTATTTATTTATTTTTATTTTTGCAATATATATTTACAATACACGTAAACCTTTCTCAAACCCTGTAAAAGATCCGTTGCAATTTACAAGGGATTAAAATAAGTATTATATCCGTCCAGTGGAATTTACATTCGCTGCATATGGATACTCTAGATGTACTATTAGTTCATAAATTTTATTGTTTGGTGATATGTATAAAGACAAGAATAGACAATAGAGGCAATTCTGTATCAAAATGTGTTAAAATTTAAAGGTTGTTAAAAATATGATTTTTTAAATAACTGTAATCTAGTTAAGAACAATAAACACTTGTTTTTATGTTGAGTACTTATTATAATGAAGGTAGTTCCTATAATATAATAGGTAAAATAAGCAACGAGATAAATAGAAACAATCTGTTAAAGAAAAATAACCAAAATGACAATTTATTAATAAAAAATCTTATGTAACAAGGTGTTTACGCTCGTATTTTTTAATTTTTAAAGTGCAACTACAAACTTCGTCACTTATCTATATTCAAATTGTTTTTAATTCGATATTTACACCTTACCTGGTTGCTAAATTGATTGCAACTTAAAATTCAGAATACAAAATATTTAGTTTTAATAAAAGAAAATACTTCCTGATGAATTTTACCTTGCGATCAATTGACGCTGCGATAAATTTACCTACGATCTATTGTCGCTGCGATCAATTTACGTGCGATCAATTGTCGCTGCAATCAATTGTCGCCGCGATCAATTGTCGCGTGCGACCAATTGTGCTGCGACGAGTTGCTTGCGATCAATTGTCGCGCGATCAATTGTTTGCGACCAGTTGTCGTAGAATCCTGAAAGCCAGGTAAAAGATTAAATTTCAAGCTTTCTTGAAATTTTACTTTGATGGCAATAAAAATTAGGATTATTTTTTGCAATAATGCTTATAGTATAACGTAATTGTTGTTATATTCGTGGAACATATTACAGTTCCAGACAATTATTATTAATTGTTTAAATGATACTCGCAATATTCTACAATACAATGGACTTAATAAATTAATATGTTAATTTTTTTCATGATAAGCCAGACATTGCAAATGTGATAACAATTGCCGTAATATAATATATAATAATGAAGAAAACATCAATTCTCCAAACTAATGTATCGAGAACTATAATAATCGTTACAGCTTAGGTGTTATTATTAGAAAGATATCAGTACTCGTTTAGTGAACTTCAAATTCTGAGCAGACTTTCAATTTTTGAATTAGCAAAAACGTGATAGTGGTTGTTGAATAATAAGTAGTTCATATTTGGTAGTTAATAATAGTAATAATGAAGAATTTGAAAAGTTTTTTGGTCAAATTTATCAAGTTTTTGTTAACAATCGGACCACCTGTGAATGTGGATGTCATCAAAATTTAATTCAGTAAGTAGTGTAAAAAATTCGGATGACTATACTAAAAACATAATTCAGATTTTTGATCATATTAACAATTTTCTTTATTACAAAATGTTTTATTTTGGTGGTAGCGGTGTGCTGTTATTATTGTAGACGTAAGTTTTATTGTTGTGTTTCATAGTCGGCAGTGATGCTTTTTTTATGGAAAACTTACGCAATTATGGTGACAGTTTTATTCCTGGTAATTACAGCAGTTTTCATAATTGTGGCATTCTGTCTACTTGGACAAGTGGTCGAAGACGAGGTAAATTTTTTTTTGAGATTTACACACTTTTAATGGGTTATTTTTCTAGTCTGACGTATTTTTTATTCGGCTGTTAACAACCCTTGGGATTTATGGAACACAAAAAATCGGAAACTTCTTCTACTACTTTTGCAGCAAAGCCAACGTAACATGGTGTTGTCCAGTTCTGATATCATCACCCTGAATTTCAGATTTTTGATCGGAGTAATTTTGTAAGTAACTTGGTTGATTGTACTTTTTCAAAAAAAATTTCAGCTGTACCAGACTGTCTATTCAGTAATAACTTTCGTACTAAATATTACCATGACCAGCAGTTTTGAGTATGAGTAAATACGTAATGGAAACTCTCCTGGAAATACAAAAAACGAAAAATTATATACCATGGATTTAGTCGTTTAGTGAATTTAGCTTCTTGTTAAATACTGCTATATTTAAAAAATAAAATTGTGAAAAAATCTGAGGCAGTGATTTTTTTTAATCATTTTTATTATTGTGGTAATGATTGTTGAATTACTATATAGAAGCTTTAAGTTTTTCTCTTAATATGTGATATGTCATAATTCACAATTTTGGTTTTTGACTTTTGGTTAAAGAAAGATTTTGCTTAAATAGTGAAATTGTTGTTTTATCAAAAAAAATCAGTTATACCAGATTGTGATTCAGTATTAACCTTAGTACTAAATATATTACTACACAGAAAAACATTGTTGGGTGTAACTATTATATCTTATGTGACAAGTTTCTGTCACATAATAGTTATTTATGTATAAAGGGCATAATCAAGGAGATTGTGGCACGAGGGAATGTTTAAAGCCCGACGAAGGAGGGCTTTTAATTTCCCGAGTGCCACAATCGACAATTATGCACGTGGTACATACAACGTTTTATTCTATTTTAGTTTCTAAACTATTTTTAACGAAATATTGAATATTTTCGGCAAGACTGTGTGAATTGTGCCGATGCGAATTTTAATTTTAACAACATAAAAATAATAGCTGGCTATTATTTTGATGTTGTTATGGATACCACGTTGATTATTTGATAATTCGTTTTTCAAAATGTAAATTAAAGAAGCGGAAAACCTTTATTCAAACGAAAGTTTAGAAGAATTTGAAGTCGGTCAGGTAATGATTTGATAAAATATTATTTTTCCAACTTAAGAAAAACGTTGAATATCGAAGCCTGTTTGAATAATTAATTGATTAGTGTAAATGAACAATCAATTGTTGCTTAGCAATTTTTGACAGATTTGTGCTAAAAAGGCCAATTTAAGCCCGCATTTGGGTGCTTATAAATAAGATTATGGTTCTAAAATAGAATAAAAACTAATTTTTGTACTTTGAATTTATTTTGTCAACATGCTAGAAAAATTGACAGTTTAAAAGTCAATATAATTTAACGTCTTTTGAAATTTTTGTCCAGCGTAGTGCAAGTAATTTAAACAAAAAAAAACAAAACAAATGACAGTGGCGTGAATGTCCTATTCCCTTTAATTTTTATTGATCAATGAGGACTTGATTTGCTCATCTTGTTCTTTTTCTTACTTAAAAAGCAGTATTAACTATTTTATAAATTTATTGTGACTTAAGAATCAAAATATAAAAAATTTTATTGTATGTAAACAAAATACATTGCGCTGAATTTTACGTGCGACCAATTTTCCCGACATGCATGACAGACTAATTATTTATGTCAACATTCAACCTTTGATAAAAATCAACAATTAAAATTGCCGCGTCAAAACACACCAAGAAAATGGCTGGAGGTCAAAAAAATTGACAAGCGAAAGATCAAGTTTGAGCCTACCTACAAATTCTGCCCTTGGAGGATTTGGACCGCCTCCCTCGTAAACGACCGGCAAAAATGATCCGCCCATAGGCTCAAAACAGAAATATCCTTTTAGAAGGGGTGGGAGAAGGTGCATAAATACCACCACTGCCAATATTTTCAGGTATTGAAAAATCGTCTCCCGTGCTCGACGAAGATCTTTTCGAGAAATAAGTCTAATTTTTGAAAATTAATCGAATTTGTGGGTATTGTGTATTGGAAGAAATGGATGGTTTTGTGCATAAGAAAAAATCCTATCTCCAAAGATATAGCAGCGGCAACATGGACACCCGGAATTCCATTCAAGTTCCAAAACGTGGTAAATCCAACTACGGAATGGAACGCCTCAGTCTCTTCCCCCGACGCAACATAATATCGTGTTTACGTAATCGCTTTGAATGGATATTAGTAAACGGATACGCCGATATCGAAGCCTTCGACAATTCCCAAGAAACCCTGGAAGAGATGGAACAGGCTTACCCCGACGAGCCACAATTATCGTGGGAAAAACCCGCAAACTTTGAAGAAATGGTGTCTGCAAAGTACGACGAGCTGAGGGAAATGGCGAAGGATATGGGAAAAGACGAACGGGAACATGACATGGAGGTGACTGTGCAGTTCATCGAATTTATACTGCAGTTGTGGCACGAACAACTACAAAGTTGCCCAGCCGAAGAAAGAGAAGGGTTCAAAGCATTATATGTTCGTTCCATCTACACTCAAACCCAAGACTACCTTAAACCCCTGCTCAGCCAACTCAAGGCATTCAACGTTCTAGAAGATATTTCCGATAGTTTAAAGGAAATAGTAGGTCACCTGCTAAACGCAAATTACTCGAGGGCTAGAGACGTTTATGTACGAATGGCAATCCTTCACGACCCTTGGCCCATCGTGTTGAAGGACGAAAGGAAGAGGAAGTTTATTCAGGGATTGGAGAGGTTAATGGCCAAGTCTCAAGAGTTCTACCCCACGGATCCATCAAGATGTGCCGAATACGCCCCAGAACGTGATCAGCTTCTTTAAACTTACAATTTAACTATATTTTGTATGTAAGAAAGCTTTAATTTACAATAAAAAAAATAAATAAATTGGTCGAAGTTTATTTCAAAGGAACTTCCCTCACCCCTGAAGTGCAGCCCAATAATTTTTGATTTGCTTTTTACGTTCTTCAATTTTCGTTTTTTTTGTTTCTTTAGTTCCTGGATTTAGAATTGATTTAAAAACAATTTATAAGAGGACAGTGAAAGTGATGGTAGGTGTTAGGAATATCATATGAAAATGTCAATGGATATCTAGTGACTAATCTAGGTATACTAAAGCTAATTTGATTGTGTAAAACTGGACTCGATATCATAATTCTGCTGGAGTTGAGTTAAATCAGTGTTAAAAAAAATGTTGTTGCCAAAACGGTGACGTACTAATTTTTTAACTATTTTACAGTAATATTTATAGTGGATAACAAAGTTTAAAAAATAAAATTTTAAAATCTCTGAGTGGGGATTTTTATTAAACTACTTGTTAACTACACTCACAAATTTCACGTGAATTTTTTAGACGTGGTGTCTGATAATTCTACAAAGTAAAAACCAGTGACGTAAATAAGACTCCCGCAGCTTTTTTGACTTTCATTTTTCAGTTGTTCAATTTTCCAACTTTTTCAATTTGCAGTTCTTCGACTTCTCAAGTTTGTATTTTTTAGGTTTATAATTTTACAATTTTTCGATGGTTCTTCAATGTTTCGATTTTCTATTTTTTCAAATTTTCGTTCTTCAATTTTTGGATATCAAAAATTTCGACAATTTTTCGACGACTTTCCGAAAATCACCTACAGATTTTTTTAGATTTAGACCTCCAAAAATTACTTTAGGGTTCATTTTTTCAAAAATTGTTACAATTTTTTGAAAAGAGCCGATATAAAATAGTGATTTTTAAGAAAATTTCACAAACTTTAATCCAGAACGATCAAAACACCATATTGTTCAAATTAGCCCGTCGAGATGTATGTCTCAGAATTTTTTGCGAATTTGTAGATAATTTTTCCAAAAATTAAATTATTCATTAGGTACTTACGAAAATTTCGACCGTCTTTGGAACATTTTCGAAAATTAAATAAAAGGATTTGTTTGTAGATTTCGACTTCTAGTAGTTATTTTCGGCTTCATTTCTTTGAAAATTCCTACTATTTGTTTCAAAATCGCCGCCAACACAAAATAAGTATGGCACTTTTTACAATTTTTAGAAAATTTTGAAATTTGTGTCCGGTGTCTAGAGAATTAGTTGCCGACGAGAGAAATTCGAAAGGATGAAAGATCGGAATTTAAATTACTTACAGCAAAGTTGGCGAATCCGCAAAACACTCACACAGCCTTCGAATCTCCGGCCTAATTTTTGTGATTAGAGTGACGGTTGCGTCCTGCAAAAAGTTACGTACTAAAATGAGATGCAAAGGCACAATTTTTCAAATTTCGTCTTTCAAAAATTTCAACAATGTTTCGACGATTTCCCAAAAATCACCTACCGATTTTTTTGTAGATTTCTACCTCCACTAGTTACTTTAGGATTCATTTTTTCGAAAATTATTACAATATTTTCAATATAGCCTTGCAATTTTTCGGTTATAAATTTCTCGAGTTTTCAATCTTAAATCTTTCATTTATTCAAATTTTTGATTTTTTTTGCAATTTTTTCATTTTTTCAATTTGCAATTTTTAATTTTTCTTTTTTTTGTTTTCTAAATTCTACGATATGCATTTCTTAAAGTTTCTATTTTTAAGTTTTCATTTTTTTGATTTTCCAGCATGGATGCTTCAGCTTCGATCTGCGATTTTTCGAGTTTTCATTTTTCAATTTTCCCATTTTCCAACTTACGAATTTTTCGATTTGCCACTTTTTGTTCCGGCTTTTTATTTTTTCAATTATTTGATTCTTAAATGTTTCGATTTTATAATTTTTTATTTTTTCAGTTTTACGTTTCTTCAGTTTTTGGATATTATTGTAATTGTTCGATTGGAAATTTCTCGCGTTTTCAATTTTTAATATTTGAATTTTTCCATTCTTAAATCTTTCATTTATTCAAATTTTTAATTTGCAATTTTTAACGTCGATTTTTCATTTTCTTTATTTTTACAATTTTTTAATTTTTCCGTTTTTTAGTTTTTCAATTTGAAATTTTTTATTTTTTCTTTTTTTTTTGTTTCTTCAATTTTACGATATGCATCTCTTTGATTTTTTATGTTTAATTTGTCAGTTTTCCGATTTTTCAATATGTATGTTCCATTTTTCGATTTGCAATTTTTAGTGTTTTTAAGTTTGAATTGTTCAATTTTTCAGTTTTCCATCTTTTGAATTTTTGAATTTTTAGATTTTGCAATTTTTCCATTTGCCATTTTTTGTTTTGCCTCTTTATTTTCTTTATTTTTTCAATTACTTGATTCTTCAATGTAATCGAAACATTCGATTCGATTTTATAATTTTAATTTTTTCAGTTTTTGGTTCTTCAGTGTTTGGATATTGTAATTTTTCGATTAGAAATTTCTCGAGTTTTTAGTTTTTCAATAATTTTTAGTTTCTTAAATCTATCATTTAATCCAATTTTTGATTTGCAATTTTCCGTTTCGGTTTTTTATTTTTTTTTTATTTTTACAATTTTTTCAATTTCTCCTTTTTTCAATTTTTCATTTTGCAATTTTTTTAATTTTTGTTTTTTTTATTTCTTTAGTTCTACGATACGCATCTCTTCAAGTTTTTAGTTTTAAGTTTTCAATTTTCGATTTGCAATTTTTCGACTTTCAAGTTTGAATTTTTCAATTTTTCCAATTTCCAACTTTCAAATTTTTAAATTTTTCCATTTGCTACTTTTCGTTGAAAAACCGAATGCTCTGAAAACTTTATTTATATCGGTAGCAGTAAATTTTGTATTGCGCTAATAAGGTCAGTAATGACACTGTAACAATGACGAATTTTTCGAAAAAATTTTGTCATCTATAGAATTTTTATCAACATCTAAATCTAGTTACTCTTAAGATGGGGTTTCAAACCAGCTAAACAAATGTAATTTCAGAAAATTTTTTTTTCGTTGAAAGTGACCTTAATCAAACGAAAAGAGGTGAATTTTTCGTGCGTAAAAATCCAAATTTCTGTAAAAAAATTTACGTTTATAACATTTTAAACATGATTTCAGTTTCTTTTTGGGAAAATAAAACTAAGTATATTAAAAAAAAAGCAAAATATTAGAGACCGCCCGCCCACCCTCTCTCGATTCTGACGAATTTTTTATTCCTTGTCAACCCAGAGGCGGAGCGCTATTGCAACATCCATATTTGCCTACAAATTTTACCATTTTGAACAAATCTGAAGTTTTTTGTTGTGAAAAGAAGGCTAAGTATATATTAAGAAAAACAAAACAAAGTGCAAAATATTTTTCGACTTTATAGAGGTTATCAGGAAAAAATCGCAAAACTAAAATGATTCGGTTTGAAAGTCATTTTTTCTTAAAATCGTACAAATTGCCGTATTTCGATCTTTGACGATTCTGAAAAAGTTACAGTGATTTTAATAGAAAATAACTTCTGGTAGTCGAAAGACAAAAAAATGTCTAGCTAATTTTCAAAGGTGGTCCAAAAATGGCAAAAAATTTCACAAGGTGGATATTGAAAAATTCAGCTTTTAGAAATATGGCTTAAACATCCATAAACATTTGCGGAATTTAGATCTCGATGTAGTGATTTGAAAAACTTAGTGTGTTTGTGTTTCCTAGTCAAAATTTTCAAAATACATATTCGGTTTGAACGTCAAATTTTTTAGAAATTCAAAAATTTCCCACACTTTAATTACTTAATAGGATTTTTCACCTGAATTATTATTATTATTATTATTATTATTATTGAAAACGTTGGGCAGAGGCAGAGCCTATTATGCCCATCCGCCGAAAACAATTTTCCAGCAACTACAATTTATTACTGCTTCCCACATAGGAAGAGTTCCGGTGTCAGATGGGTGTTAAGATGACTGGTACAAATATATACCCAGTTTGTTTTTAAAGGAAGCAGTTGTAGTTGCTTCAACGATTTCTACGGCTAAGCCGTTCCAGATCTGGAAGACTCGATTGGTCAGAAAATTTTGACGCCATTTAGTTTTATAATTTTCATGGTATAATTTCAACGAGTGTCCCCGGAGACGGGAAATATCCGACAGAACAAAGATGTCGGCAAGGCTAAAACTAAATTTATTGGAGAGGACCAAATCGCGTTGAGAGGGTCTATGTTGGATGCAATGTCGGATTTAGTTTTGTTGAAAGCTTGTTCTGGATTTTTTGGCTGAATAACTATTGCTGGCTTTGTTTTATTTTTTAAAATTGCAGAAAAAGAAGGTACAGATAGTTTACATTCCGGAAGTGTATCCTTTATCTGACGCTCAGCGCTCTCAATTAACTCCGTTTTTAAATTCGAAAATATATCTTTTAAATTGCCGACTAATTCGTCAAATTAATCCGAGTCAAGGCAGAAACACTTTTTGGCACATTCCGGACATTTCCAGTTTAGGCCAGGAACAGATTGAAGATGCTCGTGCAGACTTTCCGGAACATCAGCACATTTATAATGATACTGCTTACCGCATGTGCCGGAACAAGTTAGGTAACACAGTGAAACCAGCCGACCGCTTTTGATGGCCGCATGGCACTTTCCACAAATGGGCAGCATGATATTGCTGAAGTATTAGGGAAAAAGAAAACAGAATGTTTGGACTTAAAAGATTTGTTTTTAGTGGGTCAGCGAGCCGCCTACACAAGCGAAGACCGGCCGCTGGCCATAAAAAAAAGAAAAAAAAGCAGAAAAGAACCGACAATGCAGTTGATAAGGGGCCGAAAAAGATTAAGAACTTTAAAATTTAACGCAGTAATAAGGAAAGATCTTACCAAGTATGCAATAGGAATTTGAAAATTTGTCTCTCTGGTTGGTTGCCAAACCTAAAGAGGAATTCAGCAGTTCCTTGGATTTAATTGAGCCTATAAACTCACAAAAACACTAGTAAACCAGAGCACGATACGAACACTCGCGTACTCGAATTATTATGTTGAAGCCAAAAATAACTTCTGAGGGTCGAGATGTACACGAAAGTGGTCAACAAATGATATGACGTCATCAAATTTTTGGCGGGAACAGTCAGATAAATTATGGTTAGGGCTTTATAATCCACATAATATCTAAAATTTCACGATTGTTAAATCACTAGTTTGAAGGTAACAAAAACGTCAGTGGAACACAGAGAACAGATAGACGAAACGGAAGAACTACTTTTTCATATCTTAAGATTTACGAAACGTCGAGAAAACTCTAATACATGTAAAATTTCAAATAAACAGGAATTTCAGATATAATTTGCCGAATTAAAAATAAACATAACAGAAACATTTTCCGTACTTTACAAGCTATAAACGAAAATATGAAATTAGGAGGTTGGCAAAACAACCCCATCAAAGTTTCTTTAGTTTACCCTCGATCATTGTAATGTAAACATATTTACGGTTCAGCTAAGGATAAGATGAACAAGTCGGCTTCAACGTACAATTCCAAGTACTACTATAGTGAACCAAGAGTTATAAGGTTATATGGCCATCATAAAATCATCCCATTGTGTCGAAGTTAAGTTGTTTACAATAGAAAAGGTTTTAGGGTCGTAAATAACGTGTCCACTGCAGCTCGACCGGCTCTTGTGGTTTCGTTCAGGGGCGGCTTTCACTAAATATGAAAATCCATCACTCCACTATTTCTTTACTACCTGAAGCCGCTGAGGGTTCCGAAATAACCACTCGCTTTGAAAGCCGGTCCTGTTAAATATGAGCAAGAAATGTTTAGAAGATGATTTATTGCCAACCGGTAAGCTTAGTGCGAACCACACAAAGGAGGTATTTATTTGCGGTCAACTACTTTTATGATGGCCATATAACCTAATAGGTCTTGGTTCACTATAATAATATTGGGTTTATGACTGACGAATACTCGTTAAAGCCACTAAAGGTAATGATGTACACCTGAAAGCCAGGTAAAAGAGTAGATTTCAGGCTTTCTTGAAATTTGTCTTTGATGGATACAAAAGTTATGATTATTTTTTTGCAATAATGTTTATAGTATAACGTAATTGTTGTTATATTCTTGGAACAAATTACAGTCCCAGACAATTATTATTAATTATTTAAATGATATTCGCAATATTCTACAATGCAATGGACTTAATTAATTAATATCTTAATTTTTTTCATGATAAGCCAGACATTGCAAATGTGATAACAATTGCCGTAATATAATAAATAATAATGAAGAAAATATCAATTCTCCAAACTAATGTATCAAGAACTGTAATAATCGTTAAAGCTTAGGTGTTATTATTAGATAGATATCAATACTCGTTTAGTGAACTTCAAATTCTGAGCAGACTTTCAAACTTTGAATTAGCAAAGACGTGATCGTGGTTGTTGAATAATAAGTAGTTCATATTTAGTAGTTAATAATAGTAATAATGAAGAATTTGAAAAGTTCTTTGGTCAAATTTATCAAGTTTTTGTTAACAATCGGACCACCTGTGAATGTGGATATCATCAAAATTTAATTCAGTAAGTGGAGTAAAAAATTCGGATGACTATATTAAAAACGTAATTCAGATTTTTAGATCATATTAACAATTTTCTTTATTACAAAAGTTTTTTTTTAGTGGTAGCGGTGTATTATTTATTGTAGCTGTTATTCTTGTCCCTGTAAGTTTTATTGTTGTGTTTCATAGTCGGCAGTGATGCTTTTTTTTTGTAGAAAACTTACACAATTATAGTGAGTGTTTTAATCCTGGTAATTACAACAGTTTTTATAATTGTGGCATTCTGTCTACTTGAGCAAGTTGTCGAAGATGAGGTAAAATTTTTTTTTGAGATTTACACACTTTTAATGGATTATTTTTCTAGTCTGAACGTATTTTTTATTCTGCGGTTAACATCCCTTGGGATTTATGGAACACAAAAAATCGGAAACTTCTTCTACTACTTTTGCAGCAAAGCCAACGTAACATGGTGTTGTCCAGTTCTGATATTATCACTCTGAATTTCAGATTTTTGATCGGGGTAATTTCGTAAGTAACTTGGTTGATTCTACCTTTTCAAAAAACAATTTCAGCTGCACCAGACTGTTTATTCAGTAATAACCTTCGTACTGCATATTACCATGTCTAGTTTTGAGTATGAGTAAATACATAATGGAAACTCTCCTGGAAATACAAAAAACGAAAAATTATATACCATGGATTTAGTCGTTTAGTGAATTTAGCTTCTTGTTAAATATCTGTACAAAATAAAATTGTGAACAAATCTGAGGCAGTGATTTTTTTTAATCTGTCATTTGAATTGTTGTGGTAATGATTGTTGAATTAATATATAGAGACTTTAAATTTGTCCTTTAATATGTGAAATATCATAATTCACAATTTTGGTTTTTGACTTTTGGTTAAAGAAAGATTTTGGTTAAATAGTGAAATTGTTGTTCCATCAAAAAAAACTCAGCTATACCAGACTGTTTATTCAGTATTAACCTTAGTACTAAATATATTACTACACATAGAAACCTTGTTAGGTGTAACTATATGTTATATGGCAAGTTTCTGTCACATAAAAACTAATTTTGGTTCTTTGAATTTATTTTGTCGACATGTTAGAAAATTTTACAGTTTAAAAGTCAGTATAATTTGATGTCTTTTGAAATTTGTGTCCAGCGTAGTGCAAGTAATTTAAACAAAAAAAAAAAATGACAGTGACATGAATGTCCTATTCCCATTAATTTTTATTGATCAATGAGGACTCGATTTGCTCATCTTGTCCTTTTTTTTACTTAAAAAGTAGTATTAAGTATTTTATAAATTCATTGTGACTTTAGAATCAAAATATAAAAAATTTAATTGTATGTAAACAAAATACATTGCGCTGAATTTTACGTGCGACCAATTTTCCCGACATGAATGACAGACAAATTATTTATATCAACATTCAACCTTTGATAAAAACAAAATGGCTGGAGGTCACCAAAATTGACAAACAAAAATTAAAGGCACCGGGTTTCGCTTCTTCTTAGAATTTTGTTAATCTTCTTGTGCTGTACTGATGAGGGTAGGTAAACAGATTTTAAAGAGTGGGTCGTTATTAGGGGCGGAATAAATTAACTAGCCATAAAGTAATTAACACGGAATACACCTGGTACCACAAGTACTTTCCACAGAAATTTCATTTTAGTAGGGGTGGGAGAGGGTGCATAAATACCACCACTGCCATTATTTTCCGGTATTGAAAAATCATCTCTCGTACTCGACGAAGCTCTTTTCGAGAAACAAGTCTAATTTTTGAAAATTAATCGAGTGTGTAGGTATTGTGTATTGGAAGAAATGGATGGTTTTGTCCATAAGAAAAAATCCTATCTCCAGAGATTTAGAAGCGGCAACATGGACACCCAGAATTCCATTCAATTTCCAAAACGTGGTAAATCCGACTCCGAAATGCATCCTCCCCCGTCGCAAAGCAGTACCGCATTTACGTAGTCGCTTTGAATGGACATTTTTATTTGGAGAATCCGAAATCGACGCCTTCAGACGTCGCCGAATAAACCCGCCACAGGAATCCGAAATCAACGAAGGTTCCAGGAACGGTTTCCAAGCCATGGAGCAGGAAGACCAGGCTTACCCCTACGAGCTAGTGTCTGTAACGTATGACGAGCTGAGGCAAATGGCGAAGGATATGGGAAAAGGGGACCGAGAACGTGACGTGGAGGTAATAGTGCAGTTTATCCAATTCATTCTGCACTTGTGGCACGAACAACTACAAAGTCGCCCAGCCGAAGAAAGACAAGGGATAAGAGCAAAACAAGCTCGGGCCACCTACACTCAAACCCAAGACTACCTTATACCCCTGCTGAAAAAACTCAAGACACTCACCCTCCCTGTAGACATTACCGATAATTTAATAGAAATTATAGGTCACCTGCTAAACGCAAATTACTCGAGGGCTAGAGGCGTTTATTCACAAATGGCAATCGGTAACGGCCCTTGCAACTTCGTGATGAACGACGTAACGAAGGGGAAGTATATTCAGGGATTGAGAAGATTAATGGCCAAGTGTCAGGAGTACTACCCCACGGATCCATCAAGATGCGCCGAATACGCCCCAGAACGTGATAAACTTCTTTAAATTTACAATTTAACTATATTTTTGTATGTAAGAATAGCTTTAAGTTACAATAAAAAAAAAATGAAATTGGTCGAAGTTTATTTCAACAGAACTTCCCTCACCCTTGAAGTGCAGCCCAATAATTTTTGACTTGCTTTTTCAGTTCTTCAATTTTCCTTTTTTTTGTTTCTTTAGTTCCTGGATTTGCAATTAATTTGAAAAAATTTAAAAGAGGACAATGAAAGTGATGGTTGGTGTTAGGAATATCATATGAAAATATCAATGGATATCTAGTGACTAATCTAGGTATACTAAAGCTAATTTGATTGTGTAAAACTGGACTAGATATCCTTATTCTGCTAGAGCTGAGTTAAATCAGTGTTAACAAAAATGTTGTTGCCAAAACGGTGACGTACTAATTTTTTAACTATTTTATAATAATGTTTATAGTAGATGGACAAAGTTTAAAAAATAAAATTTTAAAATTTCTGAGTGGGGATTTTTATTAAACTACTTGTTAACTACACTCACAAATTTCACGTGAATTTTTTGGACGTGGTGTCTGATAATTCTACAAAGTAAAAACCAGTGACGTAAATAAGACTCCCGCAGTTTTTTTGACTTTCATTTTTCAGTTGTTCAATTTTCCAACTGTGGATGTTTCAATTTTTCAGTTTGCAGTTCTTCGACTTCTCAAGTTTGTATTTTTTAGGTTTATAATTTTACAGTTTTTCGATGGTTCCTTCAATGTTTCGATTTTCTTTTTTTTCAATTTTTCGTTTCTTCAATTTTTTGATATCAAAAATTTCGACAATTTTTCGACGACTTTCCGAAAATCACCTACATATTTTTTTTAGATTTAGACGTCCAAAAATTTCTTTAGGATTCATATTTTCAAAAATTGTTGCAATTTTATCAAAATAGCCGATATAAAATATGGTTTTTTAAGAAATTTTTCACAAACTTTAATCCAGAACGATCAAAACACCATATTGTTCAAATTAGCCCGTCGAGATGTATGTCTCAGAATTTTTTGCGAATTTATAGATAATTTTTCCAAAAATTAAATTATTCATTAGGTATTTACGAAAATTTCGACCGTCTTTGGAACATTTTTGAAAATTAAATAAAAGGATTTGTTTGTAGATTTCGACTTCTAGTAGTTATTTTCGGCTTCATTTCTTTGAAAATTCCTACTACTGTTTCAAAATCGCCGCCATCACAAAATAAGTATGACACTTTTTACAATTTTTAGAAAATTTTGAAATTTGTGTCCGGTGTCTAGAGAATTAGTTGCCGACGAGAGAAGTTCGAAAGGATGAAAGATCGGAATTTAAATTACTTAGAGCTAAGTTGGCGAATCCGCAAAACACTCACACAGCCTTCGAATCTCCCACCTAATTTTTGTGGGAGATGCAAAAAGTTACGTACTGAAATGAGTTCCAAAGGCACAATTTTTCAATCTTCGTCTTTCAAAAATCTCAACACATTTTCGACAATTTCCCGAAAATCACCTACCGATTTTTTTGTAGATTTCTTCCTCCAGTAGTTACTTAGGATTCATTTTTTCGAAAATTGTTACAATGTTTTCAAAATAGCCTTGCAATTTGTCGGTTATAAATTTCTCAAGTTTTCAATCTATATCTTTCTTTTATTCAAATTTTTGTTTTTTTTTTACAATTTTTCCAATTTTCAATTTGTAATTTTTATTTTTCTTTTTTTTTTGTTTTCTCAATTCTACGATATGCATTTCTTCAAGTTTTTATTTTTAAGTTTTCAGTTTTTTGATTTTCCAGCATGGATGCTTCAGCTTGATCTGCGATTTTTCGAGTTTTACAACTTTCTAATTTTTCGATTTTTCGGATTGCCAATTTGTGTTCCGGTTGTTTATTTTTTTATTATTTCAATTATTTGATTATTCACTGTTTTGATTTTATAATTTTTTATTTTTTCAATTTTAGTGTTTTCAGTTTTTCGTTTCTTCAGTCTTTGGATATTGTAATTTTTCGATTGGAAATTTCTCGCGTTTTCAATTTTTAATTTTTGAATTTTTCGATTATTAAATCTTTCATTTGTTCAAATTTTTCATTTGCAATTTTTCATGTCGATTTTTCATTTTCTTTATTTTTACATTTTTTTTAATTTATCCGTTTGATGAAGTTTTAATTTAAAATTTTTTAATTTTTCTTTTTTTTGTTTCTTCAATTTTACGATATGCATCTCTTTGATTTTTTATTTTTAATTTGTCAGTTTTCCGATTTTCCAAATGCAATTTTTAGTGTTTTTAAGTTTGAATTGTTCAATTTTTCAATTTTCAACTTTTGAATTTTTGAATTTTTGAATTTTTAGATTTTGCGATTTTTCCATTTGCCATTTTTTGTTTTGCCTTTTTATTTTCTTTATTTTTTCAATTACTTGATTCTTCAATGTAATTGAAACATTCGATTCGATTTTATAATTTTAATTTTTTTAGTTTTTGGTTCTTCAGTGTTTGGATATTGTAATTCTTCGATTAGAAATTTCTCGAGTTTTTAATTTTGCAATAATTTTTAGTTTCTTAAATCTTTCATTTCATCCATTTTTTGATTCGCTTCGATTATTTATTTTTTTTTATTTTTATAATTTTTTCAATTTTTCCTTTTTTCAATTTTTCAATTTGCAATTTTTTTAATTTTTGTTTTTTATTATTTCTTCAGTTCTACGATAAGCATCTCTTAAAGTTTTTAGTTTTAAGTTTTCAGTTTTTTTGTTTTAAGTTTTAAGTTTTCAGTTTTCGATTTGCAATTTTTCGAGTTTTCAAGTTTGAATTTTTCAGTTTTTCCAATTTCCAACTTTCGAATTTTACAATTTTTCGATTTGCTACTTTTCGTTGAAAAACCGAATGCTCTGAAAACTTTATTTATATCAGTAGCAGTAAATTTTGTATTGCGCTAATAAGGTCAGCAATGACACTGTGAAAATGACGAATTTTTCGAAAAAATTTTGTCATCTATAGAATTTTTATCAGCATCTAAATCTAGTTACTTTTAAGATGGGGTTTCAAACAAGCTAAACAAATGTAATTTCAGAAAAAAATTTTTTTCTTTGAAAGTGGGATTAATCAAACGAAAAAAGGTGAATGTTTCGCACGTAAAAATTCAAATTTCTGTACAAAAATTTACGTTTATAACATTTTAAACATGATTTCAGTTTCGTTTTGGGAAAATAAAACTAAGTATATTAAAAAAAAGCAAAATATTAGAGACCGCCCGCCCACCCTCTCTCGATTCTGACGAATTTTTTATTCCTTGTCAACCCAGAGGCGGAGCGCTATTGGAACATCCATATTTGCCTACAAATTTTACCATTTTGAACAAATCTGAAGTTTTTTGTTGTGAAAAGAAGGCTAAGTATATATTAAGAAAAACAAAACAAAGTGTAAAATATTTTTCGACTTTATAGAGGTTATCAGGAAAAAATCGCAAAACTAAAATGATTCGGTTTGAAAGTCATTTTTTTTCAAAATCGTACAAATTGCCGTATTTCTATTTTTGACGATTCTGAAAAAGTTACAGTGATTTTAAAAGAAAATAACTTCTGGTAGTTGAAAGACAAAAAATGTCCAGCTAATTTTGAAAAATTGAGCTTTTGGAAAGATGGCTTAAAAATTCATACGAATTTGCGGAATTAAAATCTCGACGTAGTGATTTGAAAAATTCAGTGGTCCCTATCCAAAATTTTCAAAATACATATTCGGTTTGAACGTCAAATTTTTTAGAAATTCAAAAATTTCCCACACTTTATTTACTTAATAGGATTTTTCACCTGAATGAAGCCAAAAATAACTTCTGAGGGTCGAGAAGTACACGAAAGTGGTCAACAAATGATATGACGTCATCAAATTTTTGGTGGGAACAGTCCGATAAATTATGGATAATATATAAAATTTCACGATTGTTAAATCAGTAGTTTGAAAGTAACAAAAACGTCAGTCGAACACAGAGAACACATAGACGAAACGGAAGAACTACTTTTTCATATCTTATATAAGATTTACGAAACGTCGAGAAAATAAATGTAAAATTTCAAATAAACAGGAATTTCAGATATAATTTGCCGAATTGAAAATAAACATAACAGAAACATTTTCCATACTTTACAAGCTATAAACGAAAATATGAAATTAGAAAGTTGGCTAAACAACCCTAGCAAAGTTTTTTTACCCTCGACCATTGTGTGTAAACATATTTATGGTTCAACTAATCACTCACAAGGATAAGATGAACAAGTCGTCTTCAAGTTACAATTCCAAGTACTACTAATAATGTTGGATTTATGACTGACGGATTACTCGTTAAAGCCACTAAAGGTAATGATATACCCCTGAAAGCCAGGTATAGTAGCTGTCACAATAAGCTGAACGCCTCAAGCGCTCAATAAACCCCTAACCACAGCTTATAGATGCCATAAATTTGGGCTGAATGCGGCGTCTCATTCAGTTAGTACTTAAATAAGAGATATCCTGTGCCCAAACAGTGGAGAGTAATTAAAATTACAACCATCCTAATCACTTGAATGAGTGTCAGCACGACCGCGCCCCAGGTAGTATTCGGTCTAATTTGACGGCCACTTTAAAAGGTTAAATTTCAGGTTGTCTTGAAATTGTTCGTTTTTTGGAAACAAAAATTATGATTATTTTTTTGCAAAATTGTTTATAGTGAATGGGGATTTGTATTAAATTACTTGTTAACTACACTTACAAATTTCACGTGAATTTTTTGGACGTGGTGTCTGATAATTTTTACAAAGTAAAAACCAGTAACGTAAATAAGACTCTCGCAGCTTTTTTGACTTTCATTTTTTAGTTGTTCAATTTTCTAACTTTGGATGTATTAATTTTACAATTTGCAGTTCTTTTCTCAAGTTTGTATTTTTTAGGTTTATAATTTTACAATTTTTCGATGGTTCTTCAATGTTTCGATTTTCTATTTTCTTAAATTTTTCGTTTCTTCAATTTTTGGATATCAAAAATTTCGACAACTTTTCGACGACTTTCCGAAAATCACCCACAGATTTGTTTTAGATTCAGACCTCCAAAAATTACTTTAGGATTCATTTTTTCGAAAATTGTTACAATTTTTTCAAAACAGCCTATATAAAATATGGATTTTTAAGAATATTTTCACAAACTTTAATCCAGAACGATCAAAACACCATATTGTTCAAATTAGCCCGTCGAGATGTATGTCTTAGAATTTTTTGTGAATTTGTAAATAATTTTTCCAAAAATTAAATTATTCGTTAGGTACTTACGAAAATTTCGACCGTCTTTGGAACATTTTCGAAAATTAAATAAAAGGATTTGTTTGTAGATTTCGACTTCTAGTAGTTATTTTCGGCTTCATTTCTTTGAAAATTCCTACCACTGTTTCAAAATCGCCAACATAAATAATTATTGCACTTTTTACAATTTTTAAAAAATTTTGAAATTTGTGTCCGGTGTCTAGAGAATTAGTTGCCGACGAGAGAAGTTCGAAAGGATGAAAGATCGGAATTTAAATTTAATTAAAAAAAAAAATTTATTGATCAATGAGGACTCGATTTGCTCATCTTGTCCTTTTTTTTACTTAAAAAGTAGTATTAAGTATTTTATAAATTTATTGTGACTTAAGAATCAAAATATAAAAAATTTAATTGTATGTAAACAAAATACATTGCGCTGAATTTTACGTGCGACCAATTTTCCCGACAGACAAATTATTTGTATCAACATTCAACCTTTGATAAAAACAAAATGGCTGGAGGTCACCAAAATTGACAAGAAAAAATTAAAGGCACCGGGTTTCGCTTCTTCTTAGAATTTTGTTAATCTTCTTGTGCTGTACTGATAAGGGTAGGTAAACAGATTTTAAAGAGTGGGTCGTTATTAGGGGCGGAATAAATTAACTAGCCATAATGTAATTAACACGAATACACCTGGTACCACAAGTACTTTTCACAGAAATTTCATTTTAGTAGGGGTGGGAGAAGGTGCATAAATACCACCACTGCCATTATTTTCGGGTATTGAAAAATCATCTCTCGTGCTCGACGAAGCTCTTTTCGAGAAACAAGTCTAATTTTTGAAAATCAATCGAGTGTGTAGGTATTGTGTATTGGAAGAAATGGATGGTTTTGTCCATAAGAAAAAATACCATCTCCACAAATGTAGCACCGGCAACATGGACACTCAGAATTCCATTCAAGTTCCAAAACGTAGTAAATCCGACTTCGAAATGGGACACCACAGCATCCTCCCCCGACGCAAAGTAGTACCGCGTTTCCGTAGTCGATTTGAATGGACATTTTTATTTGGAGAATCCGAAATCGACGCCTTCAGACGTCGCCGAATAAACCCGCTACAGGAATCGGAAATCAACCAAGGTTCCAGGAACGGTTTCCAAGAAGCCATGGAGCAGGTAGACCAGGCGTACCCCGACGAGCTGGTGTCTGTAACGTACGAGGAGCTGAGGGAAATGGCGAAGGATATGGGAAAAGGGCAACGAGAACGTGACATGGAGGTAATTGTGCAATTTCTCCAATTTATTCTGCACTTGTGGCACGAACAATTACAAAGTCGCCCAGCCGAAGAAAGACGAGGGATAAGAGCAAAACAAGCTCGGGCCACCTACACTCAAACCCACGACTACCTTAAACCCCTGCTCAGAAAACTCAAGACATTCACCCTCCCTGAAGACATCACCGATAATTTAACAGAAATTATAGGTCACCTGATAAACGGAAATTACTCGAGAGCTAGTGACGCTTATTTACAAATGGAAATCCGTAACGGCCCTTGGCCCTTCGTGATGAGCGACGTAACAGAGAGGAAATATATTCAGGGGTTGAAGAGGTTAATGTTCAAGTGTCAGGAGTACTACCCCACGGATCTATCAAGATGCCCCGAATACCCCCCAGAACGTGATCAGATTTTTTAACCTTACAATTTAACTATATTTTGTATGTAAGAAAGCTTTAATTTACAATAAAAAAAAATTAAATTGATCGAAATTTATTTCAACGGAACTTCCCTCACCCCTGAAGCACAGCCCAATAATTTTTGACTTGCTTTTTCAGTTGTTCAATTATCCTTTTTTTTTTGTTTCTTTAGTTCTTGGATTTGTAATTGATTTGAAAAAATTTAAAAGAGGACAATGAAAGTGATGGTAGGTGTTGGGAATATCATATGAAAATGTCAATGGATATCTAGTGATTAATCTAGGTATACTAAAGCTAATTTGATTGTGTAAAACTTGACTAGATATCCTAATTCTGCTGGAGCTGAGTTAAATCAGTGTTAACAAAAATGTCGTTGCCAAAACGGTGACGTACTAATTTTTTAACTATCTTACAGTAATGTTTATAGTAGATGACAAAGTTTAAAAAATAAAATTTTAAAATCTCTCGGACTACTCTACAGAAACTTTGCTTGTCTGACGTGTATGTCGTCGTATAGACGGAATATTATAAGAATACTGGACAATTATGATTAAGTATTTAATGGACACTAGAAATATTTAATAATCCAACCGTTAGATGTCTTTCCTAGTGACACTAAAAAATTAATGCGTTAGGACTGATCACAGCACAAGAGATCGTTTCAAATTTAATAATAAAAACATTAGAACACAAATTTCTAGCTATAGGTGAAGGTTAAAGCTCGAATTGTACAGTTGGAAAGAATTAGTACCTGTGTAGTCAACTTCAGGTTGCCGTCAAACAAGTACCTAATAAAAATATTTTTAAACAATGATGTTAAAAGTGAAAAATAAGTTGAACCAATTTGTTAATTATTTGTTAACAACAAGACCACCCATTCAACCAGTTTTAAAAGGTATATTCACCCACTTTTACAACACTGTTTTATAATAATAGACTTCGTTACAGACGACGTCTTATTTGACATTCTTGGAGTACTTCTTGCACTAGTCTGCAATAAATATTTACGCCCACTTTCTTTCGGATTTTTTGGTTCTTTAATACTGGATTACGTAGTTGAGATGTCGTTTGTAGCAATAACCAATCAGTGGAATTTACTCCTCTCTCAATATGCGGCACTAGTAGCAGGAGCTTTAGTTGTAGGATAACTAAAAAAATGGAAATTATAAAATTAATACGGAGATATTTTAGATGCTGTGTTTTTACGTTATGACATTTACCACAGAAGACGAATTTCACGAACTGTACTACAACATATTTCCGGAGTTGTGGGATTTGCACGAGATGGGAGAAGAAACTTTCAAAACGTTTGAAAAAACGGCCACTCGACTCGTACTCGGTTACAAAATTTCGATAATCTTGTGCATTTTGGCCGGTACTTGCGGATTACCGTGGTTCGGAGATGATTACGAAATGATGCTTCCTGTGAGGGTGTTCACAGATATATTCGGAAAGTGGAGCTTTCCTTTCATATTTATTTTTTATTTGTCGTTTTACCACTCCGCCTTTACTACGTTAGGGTGCATCACGGGTATTCTTTATTTGATGATGCACTTGTACAACCAGTGTTTCTTGCTTAATAAACGACTGGAGAATCTAAACAATGATGTAGATACCCGAGGAAATGAAGATTATCAAAATCGAGTAAATCAAGAATTAACTTCCTGTATTCGACTTCATCAAACTTTAGTCAAGTAAGTATTCAGAAATCGCAGACTACACCACCAACCAACGTAATCCAGATTTTTAGCTTGCATTAACGATTTTCTTTATTATAAAATGTTCTACTCTAGTGGCTGCGGTGTATTGTTTATTCTAGCCATACTCCTAGTTCCTGTAAGTTTTATTGTTGTACAAAACCGACATTGACGCTGTTTTCTTGTAGAAAAGTTACGTTCTTATGGTGAGAATTGGGTTCACTGTAGTTCTAGGGGGTTTGGTAACTATGTCGTTCTGTCTGCTTGGTCAACTCGTCGAAGACGAGGTAAAAAGTTGCGCCCACGTTTGTAAAATTTTAATGGCATGTTTTCATAGTTTGAACGTACTTTTTATGTTGCTGTTGACACTCCTTGGTATTTGTGGAATACAAAAAATCGCAAACTTCTTCAGCTACTTTTGCAGCAGAGCCAACGTGAGATGGTGGTGTCTAGTTCTGGTATTATCACCATGAATTTTATGTTCTTGATCAGAGTAAATTCGTAGAGTTTTGTTTATTGTATTTTATCAAAAAAATGTTTCAGTTGTACCGCACTGTTTATTCAGTGTCGACCTTCTTATGGCATTTTACTACGATGAAGTAGCAACGCTTTAAATATGGTGAAAAAAAGTTACTAATTTGTGGATATCTTTTCTAATGATTATTATAGACTCTAGTTTAATATGTTCACCGGTTTCTGTCTATTAAATGCCTGTTTACATTTATAAAAGTAAGTATATGTCATGCAAACGTGATCAACCAAATTTATTTATTTTTTAATTAATTTTTGGATTATTGGATTAAAATAGGCAGAGACCGATAAAATCTTTAAAACATCCCAGGTATGTTAATAGCTATTAAAAGTTAATGTTATGAAAAACTTTTGTACACAGTTGTCTACATACTTTATGGACACACCGTATTGTGTTTATGTATAGTACAGTAGACGCCGCTTAATATGATCACGGTTAATGTTACCAATTTTCCGTTTATTGTGATCACTGTTCAATATTTCGCTTATTGTGATCAATCTCGTGGGAATTGCTCTCAGAAAGTATACTCCGTCGCCTGAGAACTTGTTTGATCTCCAGACCAGAGCGCACTCAGGCCAATATCGACTCTAAGCGGTTTATCTATAAGGCGACATTCGTTAGAGTTGATCTGATACACATCCACTACGAAGAACTAACCCGTTTCAGCATTTCAATTTCGGGCTTTTTCAGTTTTTCCATTCTTCAAGTCAAGTGTTCGATTTTTTAATTTTTCAAATTTTCACGTTTATAAATTTTCAGTTTTCCGGTTTCTGAAGTAATCTTTTTTTAATTTTCCCATTTTTCGGCTTCCTAAAGTTCCGATTTTTCATTTTGTCATTTCTTCAATTTTTCGATTTTTTAAGTTTACGATTTTTTGATTTTGCTTTTTTAGTTTTTTGATTTCTCAATTTTCCAATTTTTTAATTTCTCAATTTTTTTGGATATTTCTTCCAGTTCTGAGATTTTTCGATATTTCGATTTTTCGACTTTTCGATTTTCGGACTTTTTTTGATTGCTCGATTTTTTTAATTTATCGTTAAACTTTAGATTTTTCAATTTTTCGACTGTTTTATACTTCGATTTTTAATTTTTCAAATTTTCGATGTTTTAATTTTATGAATTTTTAATATTCTAGGTTTTTTAATTTCTCGAGTTTTCAGTTCTTCCATATTTCAATTTTCAGAATTTTTCAGTTTTTGGATTTCCCGATTTATCAATTTTTCAACTTTTCTTCTCGTCTTTCAACTCCTCGATTTCTCGATCCTCTGATTTTTCGATTTTTGATGTCTCCTCAGTTTTTGAATTGTTCGATGTTTTGATTTTTGGATTTCTCGGTTTTTCGATTTTTTACTTTTGGACTTTTCAATTTTTCGATTTTCCAAGTTTTTGATTTGTCGATTTCTCAGTTTCTCGATTTTAAACTTTTAGATTTTTAGATTCCTCGATTTTTTTGATTTTTCAGTTCTTCAGTTTTTCGATTTTTCAATTTTCCAATTTTTTTTTAATTTTCGAGTTTAGATTTCTCGATTTGTTCGATTTTTTATTTTTAGATTTTCGAATTTTTATTTTTTTGATTTTTTGATGTTTGAATTTCTCCATTTTCTGTTTTACGATATTTTAATTTTTCAATGTTTTAAAGTTTAGATTTTTCTATTTTTTATTTTTCAGTTTTTCAATATTTTTTAATTTTTTAAATTTTGACGTTTCTGAATTTTCAGTTTTCCGATTGCTTGATGAATCTATTTTTTGATTTTCACATTTCTCAGTTTTTCAATTCTTCAATTTTTCGACTTTGCTTTTTTGACTTTTCGGTTTTTCAATTTTTCAATTTTTTAATTTCCTAATTTTTGGATATTTCGTTCAATTTTTAATTTTTCAGTTTTTCGATTTTTTACTTTTGGACTTTTCAATTTTTCGGTTTTCCAAGTTTTCGCTGTTTCGATTTTTCAGTGATCTAATTTTTCAATTTTTCATTTTTTTTTCTGCAGTTTCGATTTGTCGATTTTTAAATTTTAGATTTTCGAATGTTTATTTTTGATTTTTTAATGTTTGGATTTCTCGATTCTTCAATTTTGCGATATTTTAATTGTTCAATGTTTTAAATTTTAAATTTTTCGATTCCTCGATTTTTTTATTTTTCAGTTTTTCAGTATTTCTGTTTTTGAATGTTTCAAATTTTGACGTTGTTAAAATTTTCCGTTTTCCGACTTCTCAAAGTTTCGATTTTTCAGATCTTCAATTCGTGGATTTTTCGACTTTGCTTCATTGGTTTTCCGATTTCTCAATTTTCCAATTCTTTAATGTCTTAATTTTTGGATATTTTTTTAGTTTTGGAATTTTTCAATATTCCTTTTTGATTTTCCGACTGTTTTATATTTCGATGTCTTAATTTAATGTTTCGATTTTTGAATTGTTCGATTTTTCAATTTTCCAATTTTTTTTAAATTTTCGAGTTTAAATTTCTCGAATATTATTTTTTTTTTATTTTTTGATGTTTGGATTTCTCCATTTTCTGTTTTACGATATTTTAATTTATTAATGTTTTAAATTTTAGGTTTTTCTATTTTTTATTTTTCAGGTTTTCAATATTTTTTAATTTTTTAAATTTTGACGTTTCTGAATTTTCAGTTTTCCGATTGCTTGATGAATCTATTTTTTGATTTTCACATTTCTCAGTTTTTCAATTCTTCAATTTTTCGGTTTTGCTTTTTTGACTTTTCGGTTTTTTAATTTTTCAATTTTTTTATTTCCTAATTTTTGGATATTTCGT